CCTATAAAAGTTGCCAACAGCTGTCCTGAAGGAATTAATCTTTGCCAGTTTAAATTTTGTGGGATTGTTGACAACAGAATCTACTCAGATGTACAAGTTTAAACATTGGAAATCTTACTTTAATAAACTAAGGCCCCTGACAGATGTCAATTTAAAGATGTAATGGAATCTGATGCAGATTCCCAACAATCACATTTCCTGCCATGCCACCCATTCATGGCAGGAAGTGTTATTGTAGAATCCAGCATCAGATCACATTGTGCCATATTGCTGTTGCAAGGGGAGCCTGATCCTAGGCCCTCCCTGCACCAGTGAGTTAGCAGGCGTGGCCCCTTGCACTCTCCTGACTGAGAGCCCCCATCAGCTGATCAGAGCTCCCGCCCTCTGGGACTTGCAGGAGGATTTCAAGACTCCCATGTGCTCCAAAGGCTGGGAGCACTTGGCCATACATTCAGGTAAAGGCGTGATAGGAACCAGCCACGAAATCATTACACACATTGTGTTACATGCACTATGTGTAATAGCTTTGAGGCTGGTTCTTTGTTTTTTTTATGCCATTAATTGATTGAATGTTTGCCCAGGTCACTACTTAAAGATGATATTAACCATTTAATCAAGTCTGAAGTGTAAAGTCTGTCAGGGGCCTAAATTAGCCTGACTTGAGGATGATGATACTGTTTTTTCTTTCTTTAAGAAATATTGCTAGGGAAAACCTTGAATGTCTAAGAGAAATTTGTTGTCACTGGAGAGAGAGGCTACATGAGTATAGTTCTGTAGAGCAAGTGTTTTAAAAAGAGCAATGAATTTTTATACTTTTGTTTTTGCTAATATTCTGTAGGGATTTAATTCTGTAACTTGACACACTTAAATGCAGCATCTAGAGGAAGGTACTGTTGGGAGGTCATGTAAAATGCAGTTTGACAAAATATGGTTGCACTTTGGATATCAGTGTGGTTGTGCATTGACTCAGAAGGGGCTTGGTTCTCTTCTGCCAGTTTTGGGTATGCTGAAAAGCAGTTTTGGGAAAAATCTTTTTGATACAAATTTCTTCCCTTATTGGAAGAAAAAAATGTTGGCGTCACCTTTTTGGTTATCATTTTCCCTTCCTGTCTGTTGGTAGAGAGAGCTTCCTCCACCTTTTTTGCCTAATGCTCCAGTGCTATGTGTTGCACTGTGCCTGGATTCTTTTCCTTCTCTTCCTATGTACTACTTGCTCCTTCTTTTCACTCTTAAAATCCTTGCCTATTTCTTCTTCTCTCTCTTCCCCCCTCTCCCCCCTTTTTTTTTTGTGCTTCACAATAGTGCTGCTATCACCAATCTTCTCCTTTCCCTGACCCCAAGGAAATTCCTTCCCTGCTAGTGATTCTTGTCTTGAAGAATGTTTTTTTTTACTTCATTTTGTATTTCAGTGATGTGAAACAGGTAAATATCTGATTCTGGTTTAAAGGTATTCCATGAGTTAGTGTCCAAAATAACATGTAGAAACAGTATAACCAGCCTGTTTTCCTTGAACTATGATCAACTTTTTGAGAACCACTGAATTGCATTTTGTTAATGAAAAAAAATCCTTAAGAGATGCATTTGAAGGTTTTTTGTTAGCCTTTGGGGAAATGATGAATAAAACACACAATTGTGTTTTTAAAATTTATTTATGGAGTAGTATTAAGTTATATGGAGCTATATATTATTTCAGGGCATTCAACTGTACTGTAAAGGTGAATCTAAATATTCAAAATATTTAACACTGTATATAAAAAGAGAATGCAGATGATACTGTATAGTTGGAGAAGCAAGTAATCCACCCAGTTGTGTCAGCAAAAAATTAATCTTTTGTATCATCTTCAGATGTTGAATATTTGGGATTTGGTCTTTTTTCTCAAATGAGAATCTAAAATAGACTTTGTTTTTACTGCCTATCATAAGAAGAGACTCGAGGTCGGTGGAAAATGTTCTTTTGATACATCTGAGTCTTAAACCCACTGGGAATATGTTCCTTTAATTTGTTTCAGGTAACAATTAAATTTCTGTTCAGTTCAGCTGACTGAACTGTCCAGTTCAGCTAACACTTCTTTTAGTGGGTGTCACTTTAGCTAGAAGAATTCCATAATTGCTACGTTTTTGTGTGTAGATAGATTTCAACTTTTCTTATTTGTAAAAATCAACTGAATTGTTATAATTCTTTCAAAAATGTTTCAGTTTACATATAAGTGTTAATGGCAGAGCCATATAGAGTACAAATATGTAACAAACAGCATGGGTAGGGACAGAAATTACATGCAAACTGATATAAATTATTAGAAACCAGTTCAAATATGTAACACAACAGAATTTCCGTGCACATAAACTGTTTTCAAAATGGCTGAAACTAGTTTAAAATAAACCATAAACCTGGAGGATGGATGTAGCATCAAACTTAACTGATTTAGGTTAAATCGGTTTATTGAGCGTCTGTCCCAGATCCCCTCCAGATTCAAGTTAACTCACAGCCCCCCCAGCCATCCTCGGGCTTTGCACCTCCCCTATAAACCGCCCCTCTCCTCCTCCCTAGCTTGTGGCCTGGGCCGCTGCAGGCATGTGGCAGCATTTCTGGAATCAGAAGTGAATGTCTGTTCACTTGCTTATCAGTTCAGTCTGGGCTGTTTAACTTGCAATGATTGAATTGATTCAGCCTTGAGCTTTTTGACTGTCTGTACTTGGCCCATATGAAGAATATGAAAAAATTGTCCCTGATAGGTTTGGGTTTTTTTTAATTTTTGATCAGAGTTAGATGTTTTTGTTTGAACAAGCATCGATCAGTTTACCAATAATCATATTCCCCTTGCCTCTTGAATGTGTTGCCGTAAAAGTTTGCAGTGGCAAGGTGATGTATTCTGTTCCCTTGTTGGGTTTTTCCTCTGGGGTAGAGCTGCCAACTCTGTCTCCCTTCATTCAGGTCCAGCTTGTGGCAACAATAGCTTTCAGTAACCTGACAGAATTGTTTGCTGTATTGCGCAGCAATAAAGTGAATGCAGTTGGTCTGTAGAGGAAATAAAATGTTAACACAGTGCTGGATACTTTTCAGTATGTTTTCACAATGAGTCTTCTATTTTATACAGAAAAACAAAAATTACAGGCTGGTTAATTTTGATACAGCTATGTGCTCATCTGTCTTCTGCCAGCAGATTCTTTAAAATCTGTGTCTTGAGTCACAGCTTTATTACATTAGTTTTCTGCTAACATACATAAGCTTTGAGATCTCATTTTCCTTTGTTTCAGTATGGACCTGTAATTTAAAAACACTTTGCATTGCTGCACAGAAATCCTTCACATGCTTTGTTTGGTTGTGTTAGACACAACAGCCTTGTATACTGTACATGCCAACTTTAATATATCTAGAGGTTATAACTCATATGCAAGTTGGAGGGCAGGGCATAACAGTACAATATTTGTTGTCACTTAAGAACAGAAATCAAGACTACTTTACCACATTTTTTGTGATAAACCTTTTTTTAAAAGGTGTTATACAGTTAAATCTTCTTTTTAGGAATGTTTATTTTAAAATAATTTACAAATACTTTAATCTGAAGAATGATCAAAATATTACTGAATTGGGATACCAAAAAATAAAAAAAGATGTAGTACATTGAGAACTCTATAGTAACAAAATGATGGTGCTGTGCATATGCAAAGTTTTTCGTGTTTAAATTAAAATTTAAACTTGTTAACTCATGTTCAACTTGTAGGAAGCATTTTTACAGATTATGTAACCATTTAAACTATAAATACCAAGTGTATTTACCAAGTGTAAATAAAGTATTAGATGTTTCCTTGTTTACAAGATATAACAGGATGGGTAACTATTTAAAGTATATCTGTAAAAGGCAAGTGCCTGGACTAAGTATTTGGAGGGCAGAGGGTGGGGGTTAAAGTATTGTGTTAGTTAGGGACTGTGCTTCTAAATCAGATGGTTTTGAAAATCCCACCCTGGGCAGGTCTATATGAGCGCAGACATTTATTTTTCCGGGGACAAGTAGCAGTGGCACAAGGTGTGTTACTGCTACTTGTCCTAGGGGAACACCTATGTCATGCATGCTCTGGCACACAGCAGGTTACCCCAGCTGGAGCAGGGGAGCACAGTTACTGGCCCCAGCAGCTTGTCCTGGGGGCCTTAGGGAACTGCAGTTGCATGCTTCTGCATCTGGGAGCCTGGCCAGAAGCCAGTGTGGCTCCAGCCAACTAGACTCTGTTTTTGGGCAGTGCACACTGCTGCCACATGCACCACCCTGTTTTTTTCGTGTGGGTTTTTTTGATCCCTGAATCTCCTGGGGTCAAGAAAACCTTCTGTGCTGCAAAGTAGCAGTACAGGGAATGCCTGCATGCATGGTGTGTGGTACCGCAGACTGGTCGGTGGCATCACATATTGCACATCCACGCTCATCTGTACATGGCCCCTGTGTCTTTGGCAGCATACATATCGCAGGTGAGATTTTATTAATACATACATGGGAGAATTTTTTGAAACTACAAAAATTCTTTGATAAATAATTGACTTCATCTGTTAATGAATAATTCTTTATTTCTTGCTTTGTTTCACATGTGAGCTTCAAAATATGTTAAAATATTTTTTCCTAAGTTGTAGATTTGTACAAAATCTTAAAACTGCACATCTCATTTTTTTTTCTACCTTATGAGTCACTTTCAGGCCACTTTCTAAGTAATCTCTCTTTCTGGCTGAGGTACAAGACCAGCTGCCTCTTAGTTTGAATAGCATCCCTACAGTGCAGAACAAAACTCTGAGCGTCCTACCACTTACAGGTTTCATGGAGGGAAAGGTTACTTGAAATAGGTTTGTCTTATCTCTTTGAATTTCTTAGACATGAAAAAAGCAGT